ATTTTCTTAATCCATTCGTCAGTGTGGGCATCTTGGCTGTTTCCATAACTTGGCTATTGTGAATAGTGCCGCAATAAACATGGGTGTGCAGGTGCCTCTGGAGTAACCTGTCTTTTGGGTATATCCCCAAGAGTGGTATTGCTGGATCAAATGGTAGATCGATGTCAGCTTTTTAAGTAGCCTCCAAATTTTTTCCAGAGTGGTTGTACTAGTCTACATTCCCACCAACAGTGTAAGAGGGTTCCTTTTTCCCCGCATCCTCGCCAACACCTGTTGTGTGGTGGTGTTGCTATGATGGCTATTCTAACAGGGGTGAGGTGGAATCTTAGTGTGGTTTTAATTTGCATTTCCTTTATTGCTAGAGATGGTGAGCATTTTTTCATGTGTTTTGGCCATTTGAATTTCTTCTTTTGAGAAAGTTCTGTTTAGTTCACTTGCCCATTTCTTTATTGGTTCATTAGTTTTGGGAGAATTTAGTTTTTTAAGTTCCCTATATATTCTGGTTATCATCCTTTGTCTGATGTGTAGCTGGCAAATATTTTCTCTCCACTCTGTGGGTGTTCTCTTCAGTTTAGAGACCATTTTTTTGATGAACAGAAGCTTTTTAGTTTTTGAGTCCCATTTATCTATGCTATCTCTTAGTTGCTGTGCTGCTGGGGTTTCATTGAGAAAGTTCTTACCTATACTACTAACTCCAGAGTATTTCCTACTCTTTTGTATCAACTTTAGAGTTTGTGGTCTGATATTAAGATCCTTGATCCATTTTGAGTTACTATTGGTATAGGGTGATATACATGGATCTAGTTTTCAGTTTTTTGCAGACTGCTAACCAGTTTTCCCCAGCAGTTTTTGTTGAAGAGGCTGCTATTTCTCATCGTATATTTTTAGCTCTTTGTCAAAGACAAGTTGGTTATAGTTGTGTGGCTTCATATCTGGGTCTCTATCTGTTCCACTGGTCTTCATGTCTGTTTGTGCCAGTACCTTGCTGTTTATTGGTTATTGTAAAGCTGCTCTCTTTTTGCATCCCACTGAGAAAGAGAGGCCTCCTCACAGCTAGGCTATGAGAAACAGGAAGAAAAGTATAGGTTGAAAAAGCTGTACCAAATAGACCAGCTCTGGCACAGACCTGTAACCTGAGTGGATGCATACACCAGCTGACTGAGAGGAACTTCATGCTCAGAACATGGTCTGAGGTGACTGGTCTACCTTAGGCCCTAGAGAACACCTCTTTTCCTCTTTTCAAGAGGAAAACTACAGTCTGGGGCCATGGCTCAAGAGGTAGAGCACTTGAGTTCAGTCCTCAATATGCAAGAAAAGGATGGACTAGTAAGCAGTCAAAAACAAATACTCAGGGAAACAAGACAAGAGGAAGAAAATCCAACAGGAAAAGCAGGCAGTACAAACATGTGCAGGCTAAGATCACACATTTTAAAAGTGACATATTAGATTTGAAAAAGACCCAAGCAGAACTAAAATTAAAAATCCACTGTATTTGGTAGCATTTTGGACATAGCAAAAGAGCAGTCTGACCCTACAGCCCTTGTTTAACCTATATAAGGTGCTGCCTACACAGGAATCTTGCCAACCTAAAAAAAAAATCCTCATCACTTGTGATACATATTTTGATACATGCTAGCTTAAAGTATTTTCTGAGCAGAAACTCCTGTTTTGAAAGAGGTAAAGTATGTACCTTGGTATCGTCATCTTCTGACAGATAAACCTTCGAGTATTGTGTTATAAACAGACAGTTCTGGAATTAGTTAACTAAATGTGGATCCTGGGTAAATGTTCAGTCCTAAAGGACAGCTGGAGAAAGTGGTATGGATACCAGCTTGAAGCTACTGCCTTGAAGTAGCTTGAAGCTTGAAGATTCTGCTTTTTTAGATCACTGTCCTTTGCTGTTCTGTTAGCAACAGGCCAGGGTTTTTTTTTTATCTTACTTTATTTTATTTGCTCTTCATTTAAACCTTACTACAGACATGCTTCAGACAAGAGTCCTGTTTTTAATATTTTGCTTTCCACAATGTTGACAGCTATCATGTGAGAAAGTAACCACAGCTTTAGCTTTTTGACTACAAAATATCCATTAGGGATCTTAAATAGGCCATGTGGCAGCTAGTGGTTGGTTTTGTTTTGTTTTGTTTTGTTTGATTTTGAGGGAAGAATTCAGGGCAGGCCACCTTGGTTCCTTGGAGTCTTCCTGGCTCCTTAAATTCAGAAGGTATTAGGCCTTATCCCGTACTTAAGTCAGTTGCAGGGACCTAGGCACATTTCCAAGTCCTTATTTACTGTATGCATTCCTTAGAGTGGACCCTTGGAAATTGCTGCCTGCTTTTGCTGGGCATACTTGCTCAAGCATTGCACCACAACCATCATCTCACTCTGTTAGCTTGTTGCACAAATAATTTCTCCAACAAGAGCCTGGCAGAATCTTGTCCTTCTGTCCTGAAGAACAAGATATTATTTGCTACCTGATATCTGTGATCATTATCACTTTTTCTGTTCTTTTCTTTTTTAATTCTCTATGCTTTATTTTCAGTCTCAGTTTGCATTTGCTTTGGTAGTTCAGTGGGCAAATGTAATGAATGTTTTTAATTTTATTGCTGGTTCTATTGAAATACTTTATATGTGAGTATGTTTGTTTTCTGTGTTCTCCGGATGAAATGATACCTATTGATAACTGTCAACTATTGGAAACAAGAAACATAAAGAGATCAGAAACAGAGTAAGACTGCATTTGATTATATCTTTTAACAGTTCTTGAGGATTTTAGAATTGTCATCTTTCCTATAAATTTTTGATTCATATATAAATAGCAGTAGTGTATGGGGAAGTTATGTTAGAATACTCTGTGGAACTTAATTATTAAGTTCATGCTTAAAACCATATGTGCAGTGAACATGTATTGCATCTTTTGAGTTGGCATGCATTGGCTGAACACTGCCATATGCCAGCTATGAGATTAGCAAGATATTCTGTGTGCCTCACAGGGGAAAGAGACTAGAAAAGGGGCAATTACAACAAGTAGCATAGATAAATGTTAACATTATACACAGTGTTTTTATGAAGTACTCATAACTATGTCTAAGGAGTAGAGGAAGGTTCCATGAACAAAGGTGGCCCTAAACAGGGCTTTCTCCAGAGAATCCTGTCTTCAAAGTTTCCCCAGCAATCACAGATATATGCAAAGTTCTACACCTCTTCAAGGATCCTTTCCTGGTGTCCCTATCTGAGTCCCAGCCCAGGCTCCTGCCAAGTTATTCTCAACACCCCCAAAATAAGTAAGTAAATAAATAAATAGGGCCTTCCAGGACACCATTACTAAGCAGAGAAGGGGAAGGCAGGAGAACGTAGAAGATCATTGCCTCTGCAAGCAACAGGAAAACCTTTAGTGACTGGAGCTGAGTATACCAAAGAATCACTAAGAGAAATTATTTTCTTAAATGAAGATCCTCAGGCATACCCCTGGATATTGTCATTCAAGAGGTTCATTTGTGGTGAGCACCTCAGGCAGTTCTGTGATGATGGTTCCAAAGACTGTTTTCAGAAGTACCATATCAGACCGGTAGCTTGGCTCTTCTGACTTCTAGTTCTGGGAACAGTTTGACACACTGGAAAGGCCAATTTTGCAATCATGTATTACTGAGTTTTTATTCTGGCTCTACTCCTGGACAGTACACTTACTGCTAACCCATTACTCTGGGCTTGGACAAGCCACTTTCTGAGCTTCAGTTTTTACCTCTGCAAAGAAAAGCCAATCATATCTACCTTTCCGAGACTGTTATGGTATGTAGAGGATGCAAGCACCCAGCCCAGTGTCTGGCGCTAGTGGGTGGTCACTTAGGTGTTTTATCCCTCTAATATAGGGGATATAGCATTTCATAATGGTTAATAATAGAAACTAAACCTCTCTATGTCTTGTTTTCCTCATCTGTTAAGTAAGAGTGATAATAATACCAATCTCATATGGAAGCTTATTAATCTGAAATGAGATCTGTGTAAAAAGCACTTTAAAACAATGTCTAGCAGATGGAAATTCTTCAATAACTGTACATAGTGATGTTGATGGTGATGATGTTGCTAGTATTGCTCCCATAACTGGCTGGCCAGTGCCATATGAATGCATTCTAGTACCTGTTGAACTAGCTAGAACTGGGTAATGAGATGTGGTTTAGAATTCCCAGCCCTGCCATGATTAGCTCTGTAACCTTGAGCAACTATTCCACCTTTGTGAGACCTCAGTTTCTCTTATTCATTTTTTCAAGTGTTCATTTCAAACACTTCTGTGAGTATCCTACCAAGGCCATGTCCTGTTCAGACAGATCAGGAAGCACCCACTCAGTATAAAATTATTCTTTTTGAGGTAGAGTGTGAATATAGCAGCTTTCCAGACAAGATGATTGTGACACAACTTGACTGGGACAAAGCTTCCAAAGTAGAACTTTTAAGCTGTTCCTTGATCCCTATCAGAAGAAACCCTGATAAGTGGGATGAAATGTTGAACCAAAGGAAAAGAAATATGAATGTTCTTTGCACTAGTGTCACTTCCACTTTAAGTTTGAGATTATTTCAAAATAAAAACTTTAAAAAATTTAAACCTTAGTCTTCAAGACCCATCTATCAAAAATCCTAGCAAACTGATAAAATTATAATTTTGTATAATTTGCACTCCCCAATTAAGACTAATGTATTTGTAGGGAGAACACTTAGGGCAAGGCTCAATTCATTTGCTAGCTTAGGTCCTTGCCCAAATTAATTCACCACTTGGAGCCTTCATTTTCTTCATTGTTGAAATAGGAATAACAGTCTTCCTCTTAGGGACCATGAGGATTCAATGAGGATTCTACATATTATCTACATAATGCATATATGTAGATTTTTTTTTCTATCCATAAAATGCTATGCAAATGTTAGTATCTTGCCACCTTAGCTGAGCTCATGTTCAGTGTGGATTTGCTGAAGTAAACTTATATCAGGTCACAAATCCCCTTCTGTTTTTTTATAGCCTGAAAGAATTTCAGGGGAGCAGTATGGAATCCACTCAGATGTCTGGAGCTTAGGAATCTCTTTCATGGAGGTATGTTGCTGTTGGTTACAAATAGACACATCCATGCATATCTGTACTAATATGTACCATCAGGGAGAATAAAGATAAACCTTCAGTATGTTATGCATATGTGTATAGAGTTTGAAGTCCTTGTGTTATCCTTATGTGGCTGATGGACTGAGTCTGGATCATTCTAAAGCACTGCTTCTCACAGATCACATATATAAGACAAACTTGCAGTGTTTGTTAAAAATAGAGGTTCTCCAGCCCCATCCCAGAGCAGCTGAGTCCAAACCCCTGAGAGCATGCATGCTGAACATGTCCCGGGTAGTCTTTAATGTGTGCTAAATCTGGAGAGCCTGTGTTCTAAAAGAGAGATTCAGAAAAATCCTATGTGATGGCAGCCTTGTTGGAATGCATCTATAATGCCCAGAGGTGATTGCTTTAAAAGATATAGCCCTACTTATTTGGATATATAAATTTTATATGTTTAAAAAGAAAAAAGCCACCTCACTCTAATATGGTCATGTCACATGTATATATGAGGTAGGGGTGGTGTGATATGGGGAAGTGTATATAGCATAATTTTTATATCTTTACTCTTTATTGCTGTATTTAGAATGGACTTTATCTTAGTGTTCTAAGTGCAGCCCCCACTAGAACTCCATGCTAAAGTGTATAAAATGATCAGATGACTTACGTTAGAAAGATACCTGGAGGGGGAGAAGGGATAATTGTGAATAAAGAGAGGGAAAAAAATATGATCAAAGTACCTTATATACATGTATGAAAATGTCACAATGAAATCAATTATTTTGTATAATTAATATATTCTAATGAAAAAGAAATGTCCAAAAAAAGGACACCTGGCTCAATTTGAATTGCAGTAATATAGAACCTAGGTACTCATCAGTGCTTCAGGAATTGTTTATCAGCTACATTGATTCAGATAAAGGAAGACTTTTAAAAAAATAGAAAGGACTCTTCAAATAATGTCATAGATAGACTTGCCATCACAGTGTTATCACTTTTTTTTAGTCTAGTACTTTTGCTGTGACTTGTGTAATTCAGGGATGCCACTATATTTGTAAGAAAATATCTTCAGATTAATTTCACTTGCACAGTAAAAAGAAAACAAAAGTGTTCAATGTTTATTAAACCATATTCTTCTGCTTCTTCACAAAAGGGAATCTAAAAAGAAACCCAGCATGTGCGACTCACCCAAGAGGTTAGCCTTAAAGGTGAACAGATCTCAGGACTGACACCCCAGGAAAATCCTGAAGCACTTGTTTTATTAGCTTGTTTAAGGGGAAATAGTGCTTTTGGTCTGTGTGAATCAGCTCTTGCTATTTTAAATTTGCATGTTTTAAATTCTTACTGTATTTTATAAATAAGCAGATATTATATAGGGCAATTGAGAAATTGTATGTTGAGATAAGACTCTTGGGTTGGGAATGAAAGACCTGGATTGCAGTTCTAGTTTTGCTCTTAGTTTCCTAGGTGGTCCCAGGCTAGCTCCTATTCCCCACTTGGCCTCAGTTCCTTCATTTGTAAAATAATGATCTCTAAGCCTCTTTCCAGACTAACATGCTGTGACTCTGCTGCTGCTTATTCTGCTGTTGTCTTTCCTTAACTTTCATGCAACAGCTGCAGAGTTGTAGAGACAGGGATGTACCTTAGGTTGGCATAACGCAGGGAGGCAGTACTGTAAGAGAGCATGACTGGTAGGCTTCAGATTGGGGCCACCATTCATCTCTTCTCCATTTGCTCATACATTACTATTTTGAGTTCCTGATATGCCTGCTGCATGGTCAACTGGGACAAAGTAATGAAGGTTAGGTGAGGGATGGGCAGGGTGGGATGTAAGGTTAAGGACAGAAAACAAAGCAGTAACCAAATTTATAGTTTGTCAAGTGGTGATAAGAAAGGTAAAGAAAAAGAAAGCAGGCAGTCTTCTGTTAAAGGACTAATGTGAAATGCAGAGACAGGAGTGTTGTGAAAAGAAGGAGCCACAAAGAGACCAATGTAACTGGAGTGGAGTTAGCAAGGGGAAAACAAATTCAGAGAGGCAACTAGGGGTCAGATCACATACAACCTTGCAGACCATACTCAGGATTTTAGACAATACTCTGAGAGTAAATGATCTCACTTCAGTTTTCAAAGGGTCACTGAGTGTTTTGTGAACAACTGTGGAGGGGCAAGCGTGGAAGCAAGGGGATCAGCTGAGGCAGATAGGAAGATTGATAGATGCCCAATAAATATAATGCACTTATATTTCTTTTATGTTGCTTATTAAAATACATGTCTAGCAGTATTTTGCTAGGTACTAGGGATGCAAAAAGTATTTATAAGAGATGTTTTGTATTGTCAGGAGGGAGATTGCCAATAATGTATTTGGGATTTTGCTGATGATATTCATTTATCCTAGAGGTATACTCTTAAATAGTCTCTGGAACACTGAAGAAAGCAAACTAATTGAATTTGTAAGATTGAGGAGGATTAGGCATAGAGAAGAATGAGAAAAATCTCAGCTTTGAGTCTGGGACACCTGAGTGCCAGAAGGAGTATAGAAGTTCATGTGGTGAAATGGAGAACAGATGACCATGTAGCTGTCAGGAGTAAAGGCCTGGAAGGGTCAGGCCTCTTGATGTTGTCTGTGTTATCAAATGGCTGGTAAGGATTAGTGGTTGTGGAGAACAGATTATGAAAAGCCTATGAGAACTGGACGTAAGCAAGGCGAGATGCGGCTTAATTGCTTTTACCTGTAGGCTGAGATAGGCACAGCCCTGGTCATGAAACAGAAAAAGCAGAACAGCTGTGTGTCCTTAGCTTGCATTCAGAGAAGCAGGAATGCAAGGTTTCTCCTGTTACAATGTCATGTTCCTCCCTGAGAGCCTCTGCTCCACCCTGTTTGCACTGTTTATAAAAGGCCTGCTGAAGGAGGGCTTGGGGCTTTTTGGTTTTTGCTTTGGGCTTTTTGGGTGTGGGTTTTTTGGGGCTTTGGCTTGATTCTTTTGCGTTGGGCTTTTTGGTGTGGGAAGCTTTTGGAAGGGAAAAGAATTACTGAATGGAAAAGAATTGCTAAAGGGAAATTGCTGAAGGGAAAAGTATGGCTAAAGTGGGGTTGGTAGAAAGTCTGCCGGGAGAATTTTAACATAGGCCTTAGAAAGCTAAGCCAGAGAAAGAACTTTAACCTTGGCTTTAGAAGCTAAAGAAAAGCCAGAGAGACATGGGACAGTGCAAGATAGAGGACCTAGACTTTGCAAGTCTGAGCATCTTAAGAAAGCTAATGAAAGAATGCTAAAGAAAAGCTGCCAGCCTGGGAGCAAAAGACTTTAAGAGAGACCAGGCTAAAGATAAGCTAAGAGAAAACATGGGACAGTGTGAGTCTTAGGAAAGAGGCTTGAAGCAAGGTTTTAAAGAGGACTTTAGAAGCAAGGTTTTAAAGAACTGCAAGGAGTAAGGCCTTAAAGAATAAAGATAGAAAAAAGAAGCAATTAGGGTTGGGCGTCTCCACCCAAGCACCCAACACAGCTGACCCCACTTTCTGTCTGTCTGTCTGTCTGTCTATCCTGAGTCTTTTCTGAATCTCCAGTCTCCCCCAGTTAAGTCCAGTTAGGTTTGGTAATCACCAGGAGCAAGAGAGAAAGAGTTTGCTCTAACAAGGGAGGGAGCGAAAAAACAGCGCCCCCTCCAAGTGGTAAGGCAGGAGGAGGAAAGGTTGTTGCAGGATGTAAAGTGGAGTATGATTCTAATCAAAAAGGATCATCGAGCACCTTTTGTACAGGGTGCTTAACTAAATGCCTCCAAAAAGAAGCATGAGATTGGAGTCCCTACCCTCTAGGAGTTTGTGACCCTCCAGACAAGCAAGTAACAACATATGACCAACCAAAATAACAAACCAGTAAGTCATTAAAGCATAGAGTGAGACCCCTGACATATGTTTTATACCAAATTTATTTAGAGTCCTAGGTAAAGAAAAACATGTAATAGGGAAGGGGGAGAGTCCATAGATGAGACCTTGTGGGTGGCTCAGTAATGAAGATTACAAGAGAACTCCAAACTTCTATCTTTCTTAGATGCAGATGTGATAAGATCATTACAGAGAGACATTGAAAAGTTTGTTCAAAAGAAATATTTGAAGGCTAAGATTTTTTGTTTTTACCACAATGCACTAGGCATAGGTGTTGTAAATCCTGTTTAAAATTACTGTGGACACAGAGAAGTATGAATTGCAATAGCATTTTAAAATCTGAGGAAAAAATTACATTCTGGAACATAGTCAGCACTTTCAAAGAATTGCTTCTCTTTTAAGACAAGATGCCTTGTTCTAGTTATGAGCTCTCAAGAATAGAAGCTTTTATTCATCCTTAAATTTTATTTAAGTAGTCCCATGACCAGGCTCTAGAAAGTGGGCACACAAAGCTGAGAAAAGCCCACCTCTGGTAGAGAAGACACATAAGGCCCAGAACAGTGATAGATCTTTAGTAGAGATATTTATAAGGACTTGGAGTCACAGGGGTGGGCATGGGGGTAGGGAGCTATAAAGGAGTTAAATGTTTGAGTGGGATTGGTCTTGAAGGAAGCTTGCCACTGAGAAAAAGACTGAAAGATGGCGATCCTCTCCCCATCTCTCAGCCCAATCCAAGGTAGATCTTTGTAAATCCTTAAGGAGCTATCAAATATCAAAGTAGGCATGGTCTCACCTATGTAGTTCTACTGTCTGTTTGTGTGCATGCCTTTCCCAAAGTGTTTTGAATGAACTAGTTTATTCCCTTAGGGTAACCTGAGGAAACTAAGCAAAGGAGTTTCCCAAATTACCCAAGAACCAAATAGAGACAAAATGGGAACCAGAACTTTCTATCCCTTCTACCTCCTCCAGCACTCATTCCCCTGATTCCATTAAACTCTCCTCTCTGAGCTTTGGTGATGTAAGAATCAGAAGGCTGCCTTCATTGTTTTAAACTCCTAAAATACAGAGGGTTACCTTTGCCTGTCTTCTTCTTCCTGCTGCTCTTTACTGTGTTAAA